ATAACTACGATATACCAATGAAAAAATACACAAAAATGTAAAATTATCTGAAATATCAACATTGTGATGTGTATTTGTCCCTATATATATAAACCTATGTGTATAACTTTTACAAAGTTAAATATGCTGCATATCTCATTTTGTTAACTATACAAAAGTGTGAAAATCTTCCCACGAAAGAATGTATCCTCATGTCATTGTTAACAGCAGCATAGTGTCCCGTTGTGTGGTTGTGCTGTAATTTGGTCAGCTGCCTATTAGGCATTCTGGTGTGGGATCCAGGCTTAAACATAAATCACCCTTACGATGCTTTTATGGATTTAAAATCGTGTTTCCATTCTCTATTGGACTTCAAAAGTACAACCATGAGTAAATGTGTTTTAATAAATAAAAGGTTTGTGTAATTCAGATATTTGGTAATGTACATGGCAATAATACCAGCTCTATTAAAAAATGAAGAAGTGGGCCTTTTCTACTGGGAGGTGGTTATGATAAATATACTTACTTGTCTGCTGACTGGTGCCCATTTTGTGCCAGATCAATAATTAAGTTAATTTTTATAGATTTTTTTGATGTTCTTACTGTACATGAGTGCAGTCTTTTGGTGTTATAAATTTTAGCTATTACTTGTTATAATTCCTAGAAACCTGAGGATCTAGCACCTAATTTTGCAGATTAGGAAAGGGGGTTCAAAGGTGGTTCCAAAAAAAAGAAAAACAGGAAAGGAAAAGGGGGTCAAGTTGCCCAAGGCCCCAAGAGCCAGGCATTGGTGATCCTGTTACGGCCCTCGTGCCTGTGATCTTTGCTCCATGTTTTCCGTGTTGCTGCTCCCTGTGAGACACCACCATCTCTTGGTTTATGGTAAAGAGAGCTTGGGAGTGCGTGGTTAGTTAACTATTTTTAATTGCATTTAACTTTTTTTTTCAGTCTTGAATCCAGATAATACTTTTGAAATATTAGTTGACCAGTCTGTTGTGAACAGTGGAAATCTGCTAAACGACATGACTCCTGCTGTGAATCCTTCACGTGAAATTGAGGACCCAGAAGACCGGAAACCCGAGGATTGGGATGAAAGACCAAAAATACCAGATCCAGATGCTGTCAAGCCAGATGACTGGTGAGTCTTGGGGGCCTGTCTTTGAGTATAAGGGAGCATTTTGTATATTCCACATGGCTTGAGCAACCAAATACTGGTTGAGTAAGATCTGATAATTGCAACAATCTATGATGCGGTCTAAACTGTAGGAAAAAATGTAGACTGTTGTAGCTGGAAAGAAGCCATAGTGTCATCATCTAGATCAGTGGTCCCCAACCTTTTTGGCACCAGGTACTGTTTTCATGGAAGGCAATTATTCCGTGGACTGGGGACAGTGCGGGGGGTGGGGTTAGTATGGTTTTAAGTGTATTACATTTATTGTGCATTTTATTTCTATTGTTATTACATTGTAGTATATAATGAAATAATTACACAACTCACCATTGGTTGGGGACCCCTGATCTAGATCGTTGTACCACTTTATAAATCACAAAATGCTGAATGAAATTGGTTATGCAGATTGCCTGTGGTCAGTTTGTGGCAGAACGTCAGGTCTTACGGCCTGGCCATTCTAGTGCTGCTTCAATTCACATTTAAAGTTAAAGTTCTGAAATTTTAAATTTTAAATTGAAAAGTAACCTTTTTCCTATTTCCTATTTAAAACAATACTTAGAGATCTCTGCTCTGTGTTGGGCAGTGGAATACAAAGGCACAGGAACTACCATCTGCCTACCCAGAGCTCCAAGTCCAGTTGTAAGGCAAGTAAATAAAATTGGTGTGTAGTTATGGTAAAGGTCCACAAGAAGGTGCTACTAGGGGACCAGAGCACCAGGTGTGCCTAACCCAGGCATGGTTTCTGGGAGCGGGGCAAATTAAATTGAGACTTAAAAGCAAAATGAGAGTTAACTAAGTGGTGAGGATGGAAGAGGAGGATATTCCTGGTTGAAGAACATTATGTGCAAAAATGGAGTGGGAATGATCTAGACATGCATGAGAGAAGTTTTTTTTTTTTTTTTTGATAGGATCTCACTCTGTCACCCAGGCTGGATGACAGTGGTGTCATCATAACTCACTGTAACCTCAGACTTCTGGGCTCAAGTGATCCTCCTGCCTCAGCCTCCTGAGTAGCTAGGCCTCTAGGCACATGCCACCATGCCTGGCTAATTTTTTTTATTTTTTTGTAGAGATGGGATCTTGCTATGTTGCTCAGGCTGGTCTTGAACTCCTGGGCTCAAACGATACTCCCACATTGGCCTCCCAAAGTGCTGGGATTACAGGCCTGAGCTGCCTCCCTGGACAATTTAGAGTATTATATGACGTTTTATGTAGGATTCAAATTGGAGAGTGATGAGAAATGAAGATAGGGGGTCAGACTGTCATATTTGGCTATATTTGAAATCCAGTACAGTCACTTCCGGAAGTGTTAGAATTTCAACAAAGAAATAAATTGTTCTTACCCTTTGTAAAAGTATCTTCCTATGCTTAGCAATTAAATTCTAGATAATCTTTTTCTTCCCTGAAAGGTAAGATATATGTACCTGAAATTTTATACTGCACTAGTACATATGCTTAATTTATTTGTATATTTGGTGAACATTAGATTTGGAGTCAGCCTTGTTCAGTATTATATTCCTTAACTAGGTTTATCACCCAAAAGAAACCTGTACTCATTAAGCAGTCACTCCCCATTTCTCCCTTCCCCCAGCCTCTGGCAACCACTACTCTGCTACCTCTCTGTATTTGTCCATCTGTACGTTTCATGTAAATGGAATCATGCAATATGTGACCTTTTGTGACTAGCTTCTTTTATTTAGCATAATGTTGTCAAGGTGCGTCCATATTGAAGCATGTATCAGTACTTCATTTATGACTGAATAATATTCCATTGCGTCGATAATGCCACATTTTATTTATCCACCCTTTAGTTGATGGACGTTTAGGTTGTTTCTCCTTTTTGGCTGTGGTTATATAGAATGCTGCTATGAGTATTCAAATACTAGTTTTTGTGTAGATACATATTTTCATTGCCACCTAAAAGTGTAATTGCTGGGTCACGTGGTAATAACTCTGTTTAACTTTTTGAGGAACTGCCAAACTATTTTCCAAAGTGGCTGCACCATTTTACTTTCCCGCCAGCAGTGTATGAGGGGTTCTGCATCCTCATCAACACTTATTTTTATCAGTCTTTTTTATTATAACCACTTTGTGGGTGTGATGTGGTATTGTGGTTTTGATTTGCATTTTTCTGATGAGTATTGATGTTAAGCATCTTTTCATGTGCTCATTGGTCATTTGTATATGTTCTTTGGAGAAATGTCTAGTCAAATCCTTTGATGATTCTTTAGATGGGGTTTTTTTTTTTTTTTTTTT